CCCCCGCTCTGATTTAAGCCTCATGCCCTCCCCTCTGCTGGCTCCAGTTACCCCTCCATTACTCAGACGTTCCCCCAGCGCAGAGACTCCGTGTCGGGCAGAGCGGAGCCGGCCCGGCCTCTCCGGACCCTGGGCTCCAGCGCAGCGCCACCACAGACCTCCCTGAGCCGGGCGCCGGTGAGGAGGGGGGTGAGGAGGGGGGTGAGGAGGAGAGTGAGGAGTGGAGACGGTGAGGAGAAGGGTGAGTAGAAGAGTGAGGAGGAGAGTGAGGAGGAGAGAGAGTGAGGAGGAGAGTGAGGAGAAGAGGTGAGGAGGAGAGGGAGGAGGAGGAGGGTGAGAGGAGAGTGAGGAGGAGGGTGAGAGGAGAGTGAGGAGCAGGGTGAGGAGGAGAGTGAGGAGAGGGTGAGGAGGAGAGGGAGGAGAGAGGGTGAGGAGTAGAGGAGGAGGAGAGGGAGGAGGAGGAGTGAGGAGGAGGTGAGGAGGAGGAGAGTGAGGAGGAGAGTGAGGAGGAGGAGGAGGAGGAGGAGAGTGAGGAGGAGGGTGAGGAGTGAGGAGGAGAGAGGGTGAGAGGAGGGTGAGGAGGAGAGTGAGGAGGAGAGTGAGGAGGAGGGTGAGGAGGAGAGTGAGAGGAGGGTGAGAGGAGGGTGAGAGAGAGAGGTGAGGAGGAGGAGAGGGTAGGAGTGAGGAGAGTGAGGAGGAGGAGTGAGGAGGAGGTGAGGAGGAGGAGGAGGTGAGAGGAGGGTGAGGAGGAGAGTGAGGAGGAGGGTGAGAGGAGGGTGAGGAGAGGTGAGGGTGAGAGGAGAGGTGAGAGGAGGGTGAGGAGAGAGTGAGGAGGAGGGTGAGAGGAGGGTGAGAGGAGAGTGAGGAGGAGAGTGAGGAGAGGAGTGAGTGAGGAGGGTGAGAGGAGGGTGAGAGGAGGGTGAGAGAGAGTGAGGAGAGTGAGGAGGAGGGGTGAGGAGGAGGGTGAGGAGGAGGAGTGAGGGTGAGGAGGAGGGTGAGGAGGAGGGTCCGGTCTCGAGGAGAGTGAGAGGAGTGAGGTCAGAGCCGGGCAGTACACGTCACTTTTGAGGAGAGGGGCAGGTAGATGGATAAATGTTGAGTTGTTTTCAATAGAACACTATACCATGATACAAATAGATGATTTATTTTGAATTACGGGACAGAATGTCCAACACGTCAGGGTCTCCACATGTACAGTACCATCAGCTGTTGTCAGCATTTTACTCCATCTGCTCCAACAGACATTTCCATAGTGCACCATCACATTTTTAATCAGATTAAGGTTAAATAAATCTTGACATCTAAAATCAAATTAGACTGAATTGTAGGACCATCTTTGATAAAGCCTCTTCAGTCCTGACATGTGTCAGTGTCGTGCTGATAGTGATTTATAGGCATCATTTCTCTAAGTTACTGATTATGCTTAAAGGCTGTACCTCTGATATCAAGGCTGGTATATCGATATATCAATACCAGGAGTATTTTTTGGTATATTGTCCCAAAATTTGTGAAAGCTCTACAATTTAGTTGCTTGTTTCGAGCAGCGAAACTTGTTTATGCAACATATTTGTCACTGTTAAACCTCTACATGTGCAAAGTTCATATGAAACACCCCATCATCAAAACAAAGACTGTTAGGATGACAGTTGTAGTTCTGTTGTGAGCATTTAAAGCTGTTAAACTGCACATGTCCTTTTATACAAGTAAATATTGAGCTTGTATAAGCTACAGATGAATAAACTCTGACCACTTGAACAGTTTGATGTGTTCTTCTAGTGAGTCACAGACACTAAACACAATCAATTAAGTTCATTCATCTTCAAGAAATGGAAGATAAATGCACCATTCCTGATGTTTGTGGGGTTGATCATTAACACTTACTGAACTGTATCGAATTGAGTTGAAGTGTATAGTATCAAGTCATATTGAATGGATACTGCACTGTATCGTTTCGTGGCCCATGTATTGAGGTATATATCATGTCAGCATCTTAATGATCCCCAGCCGTCGTCTGCAGCCTGACCCCTCTCAGTCTGTTATCTCCCAGTCTTCTCTCCACGCTCAGTATGCACCGTCCACTCCATCCTATCAGCATCAAACAGCCCTGTCACTTTATTTTGGGACTTTAAATACCTCCATTAAGCCCATGTTCAAGTCCCCGTGCTCCTCCTCCTGTCTGCACCATCCTCGAGGCACACAGCTGACACACGCGCACACACGCACACACACACACATGAACACACACAGACGCACACAGACAAACTTCTCTGGTGTTGGTGAAGCCTCTGTGATTTGTGGCTCTCATGTTTTTATGGTTATGTAACGCCGCTCCCTGACGCATAAATGTCTTGTTAAACTGCGTGCGGGCGCTCCTCTGAACGTGACTGATGTGAGGGCTGAGGGGGGGCTGGGGGGGGGGCTGAGGGGTGAGGAGGAGGTGACGGGTGCCATGGCGATGGGCTGGGTGGGGGCTGTCCAGCTGGCCGCGCCCGCACCATGACTCGGCACTATTTCCCCCGGCCCGGCTTCTTCGGCTGATTAATGCGGGCCCAGTTACAGCGCTAAATCTACTGCGCTATCGGGGCTTTTACAGCTAATGTATGAGAGCGAGCGGGGGGAGTACCTGTGCTGGGCTTTGGCAGAGGAAACGTTGTAGAAGAGATTGTGGTAACTCATCTCTAAGCTTTAGGACAGTCTCTTAATTCTCTTCTCGATGGTGCCAAGGTTTCACTCCTCTTGGATTGCAAATCTATGCCCTCCGGCCACTTTATTAGGTATACCTGGGTGGCATGGTGATGGTAACGGCCTTATGTTTGAGCTCTTTGTTTGAGCCTCACAGTTTTGGACAGAGATGGATGATGTGGTGTCAGATTCTGTACCAAAATGGACCTTTTATACAGTTTTTAAAGCACACCTGCTTGCAAGAAAGTGTGTTTTTAATCATGTCATAGTTGTTTCCTTCTCATTGACCCTCTCAGAGTTGTATTTGGAGTGATTTGTGCATGATTGAACGATCTTTAATCGCTTCTTTTCAAGACACCATTTCGCCGATCAGCTTCTGTTTTCACCTCCACCAGCACACGCCCACTTTATTTGACTAAGATCAGCAGAACGTCTTTAGTCCACCAAGAGTTTCTTTATTTGATGACAGCCTGAGTACTCAGGATTAGGAATGGGCATGATTAGTCAACTAATCGATAATTGATCGTTAAGAATTGTGTCTATCATGTTCATTTTTAATCGACAAACCGAATGTAGGTTGCTGTGTGTTATAGCGTTAGGAGACGAGGCTGCGTCTGACAAAATAAATAAAGTGACCAACATAAATAGGGATTTAGAGTGTGAAATGATGTTAAATAAAGAGCTGCACTAAACCTGCACACGTCTGCTCTTTGAAAACATGAACCATCTCTAACACAACACACACAGAACACACTCACCATCATCATCATCAACATCAATCTGTCACAGAGAGAACACTCATATTCCACTGAGTCATGGCCTTAGTCCTACAGAAGAGCCGCTTTTACAGTTTATTAAAATGAGTCATTTGGTTTAAAGTTTTGTGAAACGTAAACAAATGTGTCAAAGCTGCATTAAACACATTCTAATGTCAATCGGGCTGATGTGGCTCTAGAGGGTTCTGGTTTATATGTTGTAAATTTGAGTTTATTTATGCAGATTAGTAATAATAACGATGATAATTTTTATATAAAATTGTTAACGATTAATCAATCGATTGTAACTCACTGGTGCTTTTTTGTGTCAGAAATCTCCAGATCATTTAGCACATGTGTGCACAATCTCCTCTTGTTGCACGAGGTCTTGTCCCATCCCTGACCACACTGTCTACAACTTCAAACACTTGCAGATGCTTTTTGTGACAAATAAGCCACTTTAGGCTCAGGCTTTAGATCAGACACTCTCATCTTATGGTCGTTAGAATGTTTAGGTCATCTGTCTTAGTTTGAGCACCACATCAGCTACAGATTATTGCTCTGATATTCATTGTAATTATTCATTGTAGGTATTGTAGGATATTACACTTTACATTTCACCTTGTATGGTGCAGCTCACCACCTTCTTTAGCCTAAGAGGAGTGTGTGTCTGTAGTGCAGTGCAGGGCGTATAGCTCAGTGCGGTCCAGTCTGGCTCATCCTGGCTAATTGAGTGTTTGGAGGCAGAGAGGGCCACTGGCTTGTACACACCTCATCTCTGTGTAGTTTTACAGTAATGAGACATCTGGCCCAGTGCAACGGAGGAGAGAGGGAGGGAGGGAGAGAGGGGAGGGAGAGGAGGGAGGGGGAGGGAGGGAGAGGGAGAGAGGGAGAGAGGGATGGAGGTGAGGGAAAAGGACAAAGAGAGATTTGGAGGGGAGGATGTGCTTTAGGGCCTGCTGTGACAGACAAAACACTGCTGAATGCTTGTTTAGCGTGTCTCTGTGTGAGGGGCATCGGTGTGGGCATCGGTGTGGGCATCGGTGTGGGCATCGGTGTGGGCATCGGTGTGGGCATCGGTGTGGGCATCGGTGTGGGCATCGGTGTGGGCATCGGTGTGGCCCTAAACCCTGTCTGTGCTCCTGGACAGCTGCTGTACTGTCAGGATGTTTGGAGGCATGTTTGGAGCTCCTCTGTGTTTACTGTCCACATGCAGATTCCAAACAGACTCACATCTGAGAGGTTCATTTAGAGGAGCGAGTGCTGCAGGTCACACAGACATCGCTCCATTTCACCCAGGCCTGTGCAGTAATGATTAGAGGCGCCGGACTGTTGGGTGCACTTAGGGCCATGTAGGCACCGCACACAAAAGGCCAGGTTACATAACATAGTTCTAACCTAATTGAAAATTTGAAAAATATGGGTATTTCCCCTGCACTACTTGTTCAGTGCTAATATTAAACCTGCAAGGAGCAATAATGCACTGCAGTGCATCACCAGGGACACTAAGACCAAGAACACACTTCTGATTGGCTGAAACGTTTTGTGTTTTGTCTTTTACAGAAGTGAACATGGACGAAGGGCGCACACAGTGACTGGTGCGGCGACTACACCCAAGGGTAACTCCTCTCCTACATTTTACTCACTCAAGTTATTTATTTTTCATGATTGGTCATGTTAAAACAGATGTTTAATCATGTTATAGTTGTTTTCCTTCACCATTTACTCACTCAAAGTTTTATTTGGAGTCATTCGTGCATGTTTGAGTTTAATCTCTGATTTTCATTACACCATATTGCCGATCAACCTTTGTTTTCCACTGTGACGTACGAACTTTGCTCTCCAGTTTGATTTGTTGTAATGATGTTTACGGCAACGGCAGCTCCCATCAATATTGTCATTTACAATATGCAGATTTAACACGGGTGTCATCGATTGTTACTATATGCAAACACAAGCACAATGTCTTCTTGAAATAAAAAATACAATAATGCAATAATATGTATAACATAACTTTCTGTTAAGTTTCTGTTGGAGGGTTCACCATCATCTTTCTCCATAGAGATGTTATTGCTTTATAATGTTCCACAGTACAGCATTAAACATATCTTTCTCCATTGAGACAAGCAGGCAAAAGTCCGATATGTGGTCTGAGCCTGAACAGTGCACACTTCTCATACAAAAGCCTATAATTGAATAAAGGCAAAATGGATACCATAATGGCCACATTTCCATGATGTTTTTTTAAATTCTGAATTAAATAGTTCAGAATTCAAATATTCTCCTTGGAGTTTACATGGAAATAATAATTCTGAATTGCGGTTGGAATTATTGGAAAACACCTTAAATCGCCTTTATTTAATTAGTAGCAGCTGGAGCTGGTCTCATCACTCTTCATGTCTGTCAGCTGAGGAGAAGGAGGAAGAAGACAAAGTGAGTGTGAGGCTGCTCTACCTCAGCCCACTCCCACATCCCGCTCACAAATCCAAAGAGACGTGGATCAAAGTCCAAAGCCAGGACTGGTGGAGCTGGATCAACCGGATCGTGTCAGAAGGGCGACACAACGAGCATGCGCCGAACCACCGACATTATTTTTAACAAGAATATATGTTTACGTGATCCAGGAATAAATTCATTCAGCTTTAAAATCGGAATAAACCAAAACCAAACTCTTACTTCAGAATTAAGTTTAATTCTGAATAATCACTTTCATTAGGAATTAAGTGTTTACACAGTCTTTTTAAAGCGTAATTAAGTTTTATTCAGAATTAAAGCTCTCATGTAAAAGTGGAAACTGTAATGCCATAGTGTGATACATTCCAAGCAGTAACATCTCCATGGAGACAAGCAGGTAGAGGATTCCCCAGCAGAAAAGTTTCATAGTTCACCTTGAAATCCTGGAGTTGTTTTCGATGCATTTGTTGAGCCATAAATCCGAACTTCCTGATGTTTACTGCAGCGTTTAAATAGAAGGGTTAGAGGCCATAATGAGCTGGAACACTTCTCTGTGGATAAGCCCTGGCATGGACTGGTGTGGTGTAACTTCTGTGGAGTGTCAGTGGAAACAGGGCTATGTGGAGCTCTTCAGTGCCCACCAGAGACCTCTAAATGTCTGCTACAGGAGTGCCTCACATCACAGCCAACCCCAACCATCCCGCTGGTTTGGTCCTACTCCTGGAATATTTTAAGATCATTTTTCTCTGTCTCTAACCTGGAATGAGAGATATTGACAAAACGAAAAACTCCATATTTGCTTGGATTATCGGGATAAGTATTTTGGCGTCAAAAATCTGCTCAGATGACTTTAAAGGGCCTGCTTTAATGTAGTTTCCTCATCACAAATGGACCTGGAGTTGTGTTTTGTTTCATTCACACACATTTAACACACAAACCCTGCAGATTTAGGCTGAGTTCTTCTCCACCTTGTGATGTCATGTGGTAAATGAGGAAGTGCTCCATTGTGTTTTTACACTCCATACAACTTCACTAGAATCATTTAGATCATTTCGTCCCTGGAATTGTCGATCTCTACTGAACTAAAGGTAAAAGGAGCTGTTCACTTGAAAACTACCTCTTCGTGACATCACAAGGTGGAACAGAGCATTTAGATTTTTTTGTAGATGTAGACAGACTAAAAAGTGACTCAAACATGTGTGAATGAAACAAAACACAACTCCAGGTCTGTTTTTGAGGAGAAAACAAGATTCTAACATAATTTAAAGCTCACAAGAGTCAAGTATGTGTAATGTAGTACCTTTTTAATATTCACACATTTGAACACTTCCAAACTATTTACATTTCATGCAACTATACTCCATTCTCTAAAGCCGGGCGTACACTGTGCAATTTTTGACCCTTTTTTAGCCGATTTTTCACTTGTGCGACTGTTTTGGCTTCATCATGTGTCGTGCTTTGTGTAGTAAACATGGGGTAATGAAAACCGATTAATACTTCACGACCAGCTCCAGATCGGCATTTGTAGGTTGCAAGAAAATCAAACTTGTTTGAAATCCAGTCGCGTCTCGTGAGGGTTTCACTCTGCTGAAGTAGTTCCACGAGCCGATTTGCCAGAATCTGTCAGACTGAGCATGTGCGGACACAGAAGCGGAAGCAGGATATGAGGTTGTGGAGGACAATGGCGCCGTCGAGTGTTTTGGACACAGGACATGGAGGTGCAGCTATTCGAACAACACAGAACACAAGTTTGGTGAAAAACTTGATGCTACTTACCTCTCAGTTCCGTCTGAAGAACTGACAACCCGTACTGCCCACATCTACGCAGCCATTTCTTTGTCCAGATTCGTCGTCTCTTCTTTTTTGGCTTGTCTGCGCAGAGAATGGCACAAATTGCCAAGGCAGCGCGTCTCTTTTTTGCCTGGATCAGCATTGTGTCTCCGCATGTCTAACGTCTTGTAATTCCGTGGATTTCTACTTCTGGAACAATAACTCTGGTTGTTATGTGAATGTACAGTGTGTGCAGGCAGGTCGCATTGGTTCGTACAGTGTTAGAACATGATTCATGAGCTGTGAACTTTTAAACCCTGCGATTTGGTCGTACAGTTTTAGCTGGGGACACGACCGAAAATATCATACAGTGTACGCCCGGCATAAAAGAAATGTATTCTGTAAATTACATTGTTCCCTACAGTTGTAATTTGCTTCATGTGTTTGACTTCACTTGTTTGTTTGAATCTTGTGCTGTAAGTCCATTCGCTCTGGACCGTCATCAAACACATTTTTCTCAATATTCTCAGGATTGTTGCGTCACGTGTAGAAAGTTTTTAAGTCCATTGATCATTAGCAGACTCGTTCTTAGCATTTCTGTGGTCAGATGTCGTTTATTGCGCCTGCCTGTTGGGGCATGTCCTTATTGAGATAACATTAGTTTTTCCCTGATGGTAATTCCCCCTCCTGCTCTATGCTGGAGCTCCACACCAGATTCCAGTCCGGAGAGCGCCCAGGCTGGAAAATGAAATAATGACAGTGTATAAACCCAGATATTAAGTAGTAAAACATGAGACATAAAGCAGTGGCACTCAAGAGCATGTTTAATGGCCAACAGCAATACAAATAATGCACAATGTGTCCTTTAACGGCTGGACAATGAATCGGCTCGCGCTGGAGGTGTTCTACATGTAGCTCTATTGGCGGAATATTCAGCAGTTACCATGGAGACACACACATTAGCAAACACAGACAAAAATGTTTTAAGATTGTCTGAAAATTAAAGAAAAAAACAAAATAAAATGGATTTAAAGAGCACATTTTCATTTTCCTGTGATCAGTTTTCATGGTTCTGTTTAGGAGTTTGATTTTCAACAAAAAGGTGATAGTGACTCACTGAAAAACTGTTAGATAATTCTAGATAACCTGTGACTGTAATGTTATTTGAGAGAGACTTGTTTAGCAGCACAAATCATCTCACCTGTTGTAGTTCTTTATGGTCAGATTATGTTTGAAAACTCAGATTAAAGTCTAAATTGAGCAACAGAGTTTAATGAATTTACTATTGGCAAATCAAAAATGTTAATTGAATGTCTAATCCTCTGCTGAGAAACATCTTTTAGCCTGAACCTGCTCCTGTTGCCTGCATTACTGTAGCAGTTAATATGTCTGCTCCTTTTTCCACACAATCTGTCAGAGAAATCTCAATATCATATTTTCCATTTTCAGATTTAGTTGATTTTTATGTTATTCCGGCCTCACAGCGCGTCACACGTCATTAGCTCACGTGTTTGGTGGTGGAAAAGCCCGTCTCACCGGGAGGCAGAGCTGGAGGGGGGCACTGATGGCCTCGTACCTGTCACCACTAAGTGATCGCTCATTTCCTGTCCGGGGGGGAGGTCCAGGGCCTAATCACAACCAGCTGTTATAGGAGCGTACCTTAGCCGTGTGTCGGGGTGAAGATATGACTGCTGACCACTCCATGACCAGTGCTGGGGTCAGGCAGCTTTCAGTTTGATAGAAAGATCTAGAGCAGCAGAATTTAAAGTGCAACTAAACCAGTGCTCTCCAACCTGTAGCTCGAGAGCCACCAGCAGCTCTCCACCCTCTTCCAAGTAGCTCTGAATTAAAGTACTATGCTGTATAACTAAAATTAGATGAATTAAATGCCTTTTACCATTGCACATGTATCATTCTGATGCCTAACTTTATGCATTAATAAATGGATAAAGGTTCATGTTTTATAGGCATCTAACTGTTCCTCATCCAAGTCTCGTCGTGGCTCTTATATTTGCTTAATTTCTTGTGACCACTAAATCTAGGAGCTCTCTGGCATTTTAGTTTTGTAAAAGCAGCTCACCAGAGGACAAAGGTTGAGGATGCCTGAACATCACTTACTGCATTTTTTACCTTTTAAAAACAATCAGCAACAAAGTCTAATGTTGTTATGCCAATATTTATAGTCCATGTTGTTTTTAGACTATGATGGACCACCATAGATTCCTATAATAATAATAATAATAATAATAATAATAATAATAATAATATATATAATATATATATAATATATATAAATATATATATATATATATATATATATATATATATATATATAATATATATATATATATATATATATATATATATATATGTAATGTAATGTAAATGACAAACT